GCTTCAGTAACATGTCAAAGCAACAGTGAGCAATGGTATCATTTTTTTAGACCCATTTTACTTATGTATAGATAGATAGATAGATATAGGTGTTAATCTGGCACATGGTGCTAATTTCCTTAATTATATGACAAATTCCTCAAATTTTCACTGAGATTGTAAAATGGCGGGTCGCTCTAAAGTGACTGAGTCCCTCCGACAGCAGGTTGTCCAGATGAAGGCTAAAGGGATGACCCTTTCGGCCACTGAAAGAGAAGCTGGTCGTTCCAATGACACTAATTCATTCAAGTCCCCCCAAAAAGGTTGGTTGTCCATGTAAGACAAATCTTCACTTTAGTGATGAGAGCAAGTTTAATTTATTTGGGTCTGATGGGAAACATTTTGTGTCAAACTAGGGAAAGACTTAACCCTGAGTGCGTAAAGAAGTCAGTGAAAGGTGGAGGAGGAAGTGTCATGGTTTGGGGATGTTTTGTGCAGCAGGAGTTGTGCCTCTTATACAGGCCTACATGCCTGGTGAATGCAAATGTTTATCAGAACCTCCTTCAACAACATGCAGTTCCTTTCCTGCAAGCATCTCCCAATCAGCCTGCAATTTTCATGCAAGGAAATGCTCTCGTCACACTGCAAAACGGGTAAAGCAGATCATTGAAGCTAAAAACATTGAAATAATGAAATGGCCAGCCCAGAGTCTTGATCTAAACACAACTGAAAATCTCTGGAAAATCCTTCACTCTGTTTTCCACAAAATAAAGGTTTTTTTTTAAATGCCTTGGATATTTTGTCAAACATGTTAGTAGAACAGTGGTATACATACAGCTAATATTCCTTCAGATTTTGAGCGATGAAGATTAACAATATTTCAGAAAATAATCAAGTATTTATAGTTTATCTAATTTTGATCTCCACTGTATATTAAATATTATATATATGAATTTTACTTGCTTATATAGAATACACTTATATTTCTCCTCACCTTTGTGGCATTTATTTTCTAACTTTATATTTATATTCACTTTTTTGTACTCATAGAAATTAGATTTTTTTTGTAAACCCCCTGTTTTAAATACTGCTTTGCTGGAGCTACATTGAACGATTAGTCCATGGAGCACAAAAGGAGATAGATAGCTATTGACTGCTGAGACAAGTATTGTCCAAAAAGGACATAAAAGTGCAATAAAAACAGTCCAGTGCAACTTGTGTGCTTTCTTCGAAAGTCTTCTAAAGCCATACGATAGCTTTGTGTTAGGCCAGATCGAAATTTGAGTCATTATTCACTAAACATTTTATGTTGTTGAGTTTTATATGAGTCTCCTGTAATAACCCCACACATTGAGAACCACTGCATTGTCTGTTTATAGATGCATGCAGTGCAATGCATGTTTGTGGACTTGTTTTGTTGAAGTGTTGCTATCCAGCTCATTGATTTAGTTTAACCCTTTTGACAGCTCAAAGACACGGGTATGTTTAGATTAGTTCAGTTTTTGTCAGAAAACGCTGACACACTTGGGTTCTTGAGAGGAGTCATTCCTGACAGATAAGGATGCACTTGTGTTATTTGTTACCACAATACATTTATATAGGCCTGTACGTTTGAATTTGTCTCTCTCTCTGATGGAAGTCTTGGTTTAACAATGGACTCGTTTTATAGGCGACACCGGTGACTAAATGCGAGCTGAATTATTTCCTGAGTGAAGAGCTTGCTCAAACATGAGGATTATCCAATAATCCAGAACATATTTTTAATCCATGTACATTTTTAAAGGGATTTCAACTGTTTACACTTTAAAGGATTTGAAACCAATGACAGTATTAGAATCAGAAGCTTGCATGTGCTGTTGGAGGCAGGGCCGGATTTACCTCTAATCGTGACATAGGCAAAACTAATTTTTGCCCCCATTATTTGTTGTGTTTCCGTCCTGAAATCTTATGTGTGTTGAACTAATTTCTTACGCACCTCATAAACCTTCCATTGCAAATTCCAAAATGTCATTTTAGAGCTAATAACAGAGGCTTGAGCCATTGATATGTAGTCTAATGCAGTTATTAGAGAGAGCGAGAGAGAGAGAGAGAGAGAGAGAGAGATTAAGCGCGTGTGAACCTGCATCTGTGCTTCTCTCAGCAGTGTTCAGCAGCAGCGTCTACTAATAGTGAATCTTTAAGTTGAACTGCTTCAAGAACCTCGCTACTGAGAAATGTCATGTAGCTTTTCAGCTGCGAAACTATTGATAAATTCGCACAGTGCTGACAACAAGTTTGTCCATGTCTCCACGTATGCTGTCTGTACTGTGTGTGCATCTGCGGAGAGAGCGGGAGAAAGAAAGCGTGATTTCGGTACATAAACAGGTGGAAAACATGGAAATAGTTGTCATTTTTTACCCTATTACTTGTTATATTTATTTACAATCTCTTCTGGGTTTTTTTTTTTTTTTACTGTTGTAGATAGCCCATAGTATAACAAAAAATATGATATATCTCTTCATTGTGTTTGGGCCCCCCTGTACGAGCGAGCATAGTCACATGCCTAGAATGCCTATGCGTAAATTCGGCCCTGGTTGGAGGCTTTCGTTGAGTTCTAGAGTCTCGTGCATGAACAAGTGATTGTGGTTAGTTAGTTGTTGGATGTTTCTGTCATCCTGAAATGAGCTGCTTTTAAAGAAACTTCTGCAAACTGTTGGATGCAAACACAATAAAATTATATTTAAAATGTATTTACTGTATATTATATTCAATAAGAATGTCAAATTAATGCATGTACAATGAAAAATATGTTGTAACAATTTTTTTTCCCTCAGAATTTGCTAGGACATTTCTAAATAGAACGCTTGAAATAGTATTATCTTGTAAAATATACTCCAATAATCTTGTAGTTACAGTTTCGAAAAATCATTTTTTACAGTGTACAGAATATGTCTTATAAAATCAGGGGTGTAGTTATCATTTCACAAGTGAAGGGGAATATTACTTTTTTTTTGACATGTTTGACAAGGTTTATTTTTCTCTTATTTCTTACTTTTAATTGGCTAAGAAATTAAATTCACTGCTGGACAATAGCAATAATTTTTATTCTATGTTATTTTCAATCAATTTTACGATTTGTTTATATACTACAGACACTTTTTTCCATTTTTATCACAGAATAAGGCACAATAGTTTCTATACTGTAATAAATGCAATGTCAATTAGCACTGCATTATTCATATACTTTATTTATTACCTGCAGATGACTTGAAAAACACACATTAACAATATATTGTCTCAATCATGTGTTTAATGTCTTCACGTTTCATCAGTCCAAACATTTCTGCTTAAACTGTGATAGCTGGATGATTTAGTCCATATAAGGGATTTCCTGGCACATCATAAGTTATTACTTCTATGAGTCTGTCTTGGACTTTTTGCGTGTCAAGTATGAATGAAACATTCACATCACCTCAATCGGGATACGAATTAAATATCACACCATGCAGAGACTATCCTGTCTCTTTGAATTTAAATCTAGATTTATTCACACCGGCCCTCTATGTGAACACACTTGCCTGAAAAAGTGCAGGGATCGAATTGACATGTTATTAAAAGTGTGAGTGTATTGCATTGCAGCTATTACAGTTTCATACGTTTTTTGTTTGCATGAAGTTCCTTTGGTTTTGCAACCCCTTGAGTTTTTTTTTTCTTTCTCCAGCTTCTTTGAAACACAGTATTCCCATTGAAAGCAACATTCTCTGATGCAGCATAAACTGTCATTTTCAGGTATCATTAGCTATATGTAACCATAGACTTGTTTTGTCAAGTCTACTTGCTGTGGTAATTGACAGCATGCAGAATCCTGTAGATTTCTCACATTTAATTATATTTTATAACATGTGTGACCTTTTTAAACCTTGATGAGAGTGCTGTTGGTGCATAGAAAGGGATTAGCATTTCTGCATTCATTAAACTAAATATGCCGCTCGCAACTCCACACTATGATCTCTCACTTCATTTCATGTTTAAATGTCTGTGTTCTGTTTTTTTTTTTTTTTACCAAAGCATTGACTAAAGAGTCTTATGCTTTTCTGGTTTAGCAACCTTCTATATCACCAAGAACACTCAAAATGTTGTATTTCAGGTTACCCGAGCGCAACTCATCCTTCTGAGAGATAATCATTTTGCATTAGATATGCTTTTAGGCCTACATGTTCATATTAACTCGTCTACATGCTGCTAATTTAGGATGAGAAACTATGTTAGACTGCATTGTGAATGTGTTCTGTCTCCACCGCAGTCACTGCAGATGACTGAATCCAAAGGTATTACATTATGGCAGGCCTTGTTAAATAACGAAATATTGATTATAACTAGGAGCTAATTAGTTACGGACTTACTGTACCAAGCATCTGTTGTTTTGGGTCTCTGTGGGGAAATTTCATAAATTTCTTCTTTTAATGCAATAGTTCACCCAAAAATGAAAAATGTCTTAATTTACTCACCCCCATGTTGGTCCGACTTTCACAAAAGATGAAATGGCATGAAAGAATGTCCAATCTACTCTTTTCCATTCAGCGATGGTGGATGCTGAGAGTAAATTATATTCATTTTGGGGTGAATTGTCATGTAAATTGCCATTTTACTTGCGTAATGTAACATCTTTTAGAGTGAAAGAAAATATTCAATGACAAAAATGGTAAAAAGTGGTTGTCCCACACCACAGTGAAGCCACAGTGATTGTAAAAACTGACTAAAAAGCTAATTGGGTATTGGTTAACATTATCAGGGGAAATTCATTTCAGAACAAACACTTTCTCTTGGAATAACATGCACTGATGAATCTTGTAGAGTAAGTCTAGCAACATGTATTAGTAAAATAAACAGGGGCAAACATGTTGGCTTGAACTTCACAAAAAGGCACATTAAGCAATGATGCCATACTCATAATTAAATGTCTTTTGAGATGTTTCCTTTCTTGTGGTATTTTGAAACCATATGAAACATTAAAATTGTTTGTCCATCTCATCTTTTCACAGGAGATTCAACATGGCCATTGCTGTCGTCTTACATGTTTGTTGCATCCGGGCTTGAACGCGTCTGCGTTCTTCCTCAAGTGCTCTTAGAGTGCATGATGTCAATGCATTTCTGCTGCCTTTCCAAGATGAACGACTGAAATATGAACCTCATTCAAGCTTTCTGGACCTCCAGTCCTACGTCTGATTAAATCAAGCCCCTCAAACGACCATCCGAGGCAGGGAATAAGGAATAGACGTGGCTGCTGGTTGGTGGCAGTGGAGGACGAGGAGGTGGCGGAGGAGGGGGGTTTGCAAACCATCTATTTCCTTTGGAATATATCATTTGTGGAATACCACTGTGTTTTTGGATTATTTCAGAACTTTGGGAGTTTTGCTGTAGTTTTTGGAATCATTTCGGAATATTGGGTATTTTGCTCCTGTTCGCAGTCATGAAGGTGAACCCGAGATATTGTTTGTGTCCTGTACTTTTGTGCCTGTGTTTTCTGGAGAGGGGTTATGAGGCAAGCCATCACGGCCAAGCCAAAATCATTTCCAGGAGCCACAATGCAACTCACAACCACAACCAGACTAAGGACGGGGAAACAGAGGTCCACCATCGGCCCAAACGCGGATGGATATGGAACCAGTTCTTTGTCTTAGAGGAACACATCGGTCCAGATGCACAATATGTAGGAAAGGTAAGCATTTCATTTTCAGTTCTGGTTTGATAATCTGGTTTGCCTGGACTAGTTTGCAGGTTTTAGAGGATTTGGGGGCATTTGTCAGCTTGGCCGACCAGCTAAACCAGCTTGCCAATACTAGCAGACCAGGTTGACCAACTTATACCAACTAATTTGTCTTAGCCAATAGTTGATATACCTGGGTCATGGAATTAATTTACTGTATTTACTTATAACATCCAAGTGAAAGATAAAAAACACCAACATGTCAGAAAAAAATAAAAACCAGAATCACTGAGTTGTAAAAAGGATCACCCCCTCCTAAAAATGAGACTATGTAAACTCAATCAGATATAGCTGATCACTTTCTCAATGGCACACAAAGCCATTTGACTTTCAACTGTGATCAGATGTGGTCATTTTGCTTAGCTTCAATGGCACACAAAGCCATTTGACTTTCAACTGTGATCAGCTGTGGTCATTTTGATTAGCTCAGCATGAAAACTCAGCTCTCCTGGAGAATTTCCGTTCTCAGTAGTGCAACTGAAGCAAACAATCAGCTATGGGTGGCAAGGCACTCTCATAAGATCTCCGGGATAAAGTTGTGGACAGGCACAAGTCAGGAGATTGATACAAAAAAAAATTAATAGGCTTTATCAATGCCTAGAAGCACAGTGAAGTCTATTATTAAGAAGTGGAAGATATTTGGTATAACACAGACCCTCCCTGGATCAGGACTTCGCTCCAAACTGGATAAAAGAGCCAGGAGGAAACTGGTCAGAGAGGCGACCAAGAGGCCTACAGCAACTCTGATGCAGCTGCAGGAATTTACAACAAAGAGTGGACATTGCGTGCACGTGACAACAATATCACAAATTCTACACAAATGTTGTAAGGAAACAGCCACTCCTCTAGAAAGGCCACATGCAGTTGCGACTGAGCTGAAACAAAACACACCTTGAACATTCTGAGTCCACATGGAAAAAGGTGTTATGGTCAGATGATACTAAAATTGAATTATTTGGCCTCAACACTAAAAGATATGTCTGGAAGAAATCCAATACAGCTCACCATTCAATTCCTACAGTAAAGCATGGAGGTGGTAATATCCTCTTATGGGGCTGTTTCTCTGCAGCAGCGACTGGAGCACTTGTCAGGATAGAAGGAAAAATGGATGGTGCAAAATATCGTCTTGAGGAAAATCTGCTGCCCTCTGCCAGAAAGTTGTCAATAGGAAGAAGGTTTACCTCCCAACATGACAATAACCCAAAGCGCACAGTGGTTGAAGGAGAAAAATGTCCCTGCATGGCCTAGTCAGAGCCCAGACTTAAACCCCATTGAAAATCTGTGGAATGACTTGAAGACTGCAGTCCACAAACTGTCCCCATCAGATTGAACTAAACTTGAAAGAAGAGTGGGCAGATATTGCAAAGTCTAGATGTGCAAAGTTAGTAGAGACATATTCCAACAGACTAAAGGCTGTAGTTAAAGCGAAAGGTGGTTCAACAAAATACTGACACAAGGAGGTGATCCTTTTTCCAACTCAGTGGGTCTTTTTTTTTTTTAAATGTTGGTGTTATATCCATCACTTGGATGTTATAAGTTGCAGTAAATACAGCTGGATAAAACAAAAACTGTCTGTCTTCATTTCAGGCTGCAAAGCAACAAAATGTGATTATTTTAAAGGTGGGTGATTCTGTTCTATACCCGCTGTACAATAACCTTTAAGTTATGTTACACCAATGAATAATGATCTGCTACCTGCCGTTGGACAAAACATTGGTGTGCACGAGGCTTTGGTTTGTTTTCCTTGAAGGCAAGGTCTTTAAATGGGTATATCAAAACTCAAATTTGGATTTAAACTAGCATAAGGTGGTTTGGTTGGTTTTAGTTTCCCAGCCTGACCAGCTGATAAGTGTCCAAAACCCCTTTATCAAATAGATCCACCTGGCCATTTTGGCTGCCTTTAAGACCAGCAAATACATTGGGCATGTTGATGTTATTTTAAACATTGATATAACAGCAGTCTAATGTTGAAACATGTTAGACCCTCATGAACAACATAAATTTGTAAATCAAGCAAGTGACCTTTTGCTCTTTCTCTGACCTTATTCCTTCACTTGTCTATACCCGCCGGCCTTGATCGATAATGTCTTTGCACGGAGTTAGCTTAGCACAGCAAAACAGCAGCTCGGATCTGCAGCTTGACTTATTGGTTTGTGTTTGAGATTTGACAGCCTTCATCACTTTGGCTAGAGTCATGCCGGTTCTCCTGTGTTTGCCTCACGGGCTTGTCGAGCTTGTGAAACATGAATTTTGTGTCCATGCCAAATCGCAAATAGGGCCATGAATCTATTAGCATTAGCAAGTCAGTCTGGAGTCAAAGTGGAAACTTTTGCACTTACCACATTTGGGTGTATTTTACTAAATTAATGCTATAGGCTAATTTGGTTCTTTTATTTTCATACATGGAGAGCTTTTGTGCATGAAGGAAGTATTACTTTTTTCAGATTACAACGATTCTTCTTCAAATAACTTCTTTACTTTTAGAGTTCTTCTTTACCTAGCTAATATAGACTAATTCATTTTATATTTATGTGTCACTTTCACTAACTTTTCCTCCCAAAATGCTGTTTGAAATATTAGACTTTGAAAATATTTGCAATAATAAATAATGTGGCAAATGGATTGCTGACAGGACATACCATTTTACTGTCCTCCCAAGAAGAACCCAATCATTTCTGTCTCTTATATTTTCAAAATTGGGCCATGAATAAACATTATTTTATTTCATTTTATTTTATTTATTTTATTATTTTGTAACAATTTAAAATAAAATGTGTGGGAATTGTCCTGCAGTGTAATCTTAATCATAAATTGAAGTAAATAAACAAATGAAAAACGTGTATATTCAAATGGAAAACAGTTTTTTATTATTAATTGTTATTTATTTTTTGATTTTACCTTATAATAATTTTTTTGTTTTTACTGTTGATCAAATGAATACAGCCTTTGTAAGCTTTAGAGACTATATATAATATATTTCAAATATGACGTGGTCATGAATTTAAATTAATTAATTAAAATCTTACACTTGTTATACTGCACATTTTAGATTATTATTGTTTTGTTTTTTTTAGAATTTATTAACAACAACAAAACAATAATACAATTCATACTGCAGGACCATTGAAATTCACTACTGAAAAAAAATACTGCAAAAATGTAACAAAATAAACGTATATATTTATGCAGAAAATATATTTTTTTAATTAAGAATCCATTTGTCAGATATAAACATATATTCATCGTCACCAGTACCTTTTCACATAGCAGTAACAGTTCAATGAAGGACACACCGTCACTGTCCTTGAAATCCCCAGTACTCAAAAAGTGCATTAGGCATTGTAAATTGATTCAATAAGCGTTGTTTAATGGGTACTGTGAGAGTGTTAGCGGGGGGCGCTGCTCCATCCCAGTGTCCTCTTTTATCTTTGTGTATCTCTCTCTCTCTCTCTCTCTCTCTCTCTCTCTCTCTCTCTCTCTTTCTGAAGCGGAGATTGATTCAGCAGGTCATGTCCGTGTGCTTTACGTCTCTTTACTGAAGCGTCACACAATGAGGCCGCAGGAAGCTGGTTAAGTTGTCTGTGTGCAGATTGCCTTCTCTTATCTTCAGAAATATGGAAATGTGTGGTGGTTGATCATTATTCAGGGTACTCAAGCATAAGGTAATGCAGGGAAAAGAGCAACAGACGTGCAGACAGAGAAAGAGAGAAAGAGAGAAAAGAGACAGACATTATTTGTCACTTGCTGCCTTCAAATCATGTTGGAATGATGGTATTCATGAGGTTAGCGGTCAGGAAGGGCATAATATGTTGGAAATGAGCAGGTTTATGATACCTGGAGAAAGATATCCGTTAGCATTCATATGCATGTTAATGGCAGCTGCTCAGCTCTCGTAGAAAGTATGCAATTTTAAATGTTTTGATTTTATATTATGGATTTATTATTATTGTTTATGTGTTGAATTTATGTTTTTAAAAAGACGCTGCAGAGCATGACATTATATCACGACCGTTGCAGTGTTCGAAGAAATTTTGCGCGCTCAAAGTCTAGTGTCCACGACTTTATATGATTATAGCTGCAGAAATATCTACTATAATATAAAGAAATATTTGCAATTAAAGTGTTGCTTGCAAAAAGAAAATGTTTTGTCTAAATATAAAACTACTTACTGTAGTTACTTTATCAATGGAATTTAAATAGAATTATGAAACCATAATGGAGGAAGCAAGTTGTTTTTAATCATAAATTGGCCATATTTACAGTGGTCTAAAAACACATTTCATGTCCAGTGTTATTTTAGTATTGAGTTTTTATTCATATTTTGAAATAGTTTTTATTATTATATTTTCCGTTTTAGTGTTTTTTAGTGTAAAGTTTTTGTCTTTTTAAGTAGTTTTTGTAATTGTTATTTCTACATATTTTTTATACATTTTTATTTAAATTTTACTTTTATTTTAGTACATTAAAGTGCATTAAAATTAGTACATTAAAAAAGTATCAACTAAATAAAAATGAGAAATATTGCTAAATTAAACTAAAATAACTAAATATGAGAAATTGACAACTAGCTGATTTTTTTTTTCCCCTAGTAACAAGTTTCAGTTGTTTTTCTTTTTCTTTTTGTTATTAGGATTTAATGCCCCTGACTCTTGTAGAAGAATAGTGATAAAAAAAGACTGCTAATTTAGCTGGTTAATGATGTGACAGACAACATCACATCATTCTCTGTGCTTAAATAATTAATATGAAGCATAAAATACAGATCAAGCATAAATTAGTACCAAAACATCTAAATTAGAATACACCTCTCAGCATAATTCCAACTTCTGAACTCATAAGTATAAACATCCCAAGAGGACTTAAAGGCAACAATGGAAAATTGCCTCTGCGAGACAAAATCTAGTACAAAAATGCATCTGTGTGACAATCAGATGAATGAGATGACTATGCAA